CATGACCTGAGCTGAAGGCAGTCGCTTAACCAACTGAGCCACCCAGGCGCCCCTGTGCCTGCTTTCTTAACTGGATCCCTACTTGGTTCATCTTGAACATTTTTCAAGTTAGAGAACAGGGCTTTCCCTCTCTTCCCCACCTGCATAATGTTTCATTTTATGAACTCTACCGTAGTCTATGTACTCATTCCGCCAGGGATGGATTATTTTCAGGTGTTCAGGATTAGGGACAACGTCCCAAAGAATCCCCTTCACATGTGTGTTTGTGGGCTTGTTGGGGTGTCTTCAGCTAGGCTCAATCTAAGACTGGCCAGAAGACCAGCATATTTGCACTTTACTGAGCTTTGCCAATAGCTCTTCAAAGATGTCCTGTTGACCTTTGCTCCCATGGGGGAGGGGGTGCCTTTCTTCTCCCTGGAATTGTGAATCTTTCTTTCCGAACTGTAAAATGCACATAAGAAAGTTTCCCATCATGACCATTCTTAAGTGCACAGTTCAGGGCTGTTAAGTAAAATCACCTCGTTGTGCAGCCGTCATGAGCACCCACCTCAAGAACTTGTTGGTCTTGCAAAATAAAGTCTGTATTCATTAAAAATAAATACCTCCCTGGAAACCAATTTTTCCATATATGTTAGCTAAGTAGAATTTAAATAAAAACTTCTAATCAAAAAAAAAGAAAGAAAGAAAGAAAGAAAAAAGAAACCCAGATAACTCCCTATTCTCCCAGCCCCAGGCAACTATGGTTCTCCGTGCCTCCTATGAGTGGAGTCACACAGTATTTGTTGTTTTGTGTCTGGCTGATTTCACTGAGCATCGTGTCCTCAAGGTTCATCCGTACGCCAGGGTTTCCTCCTTCTCAAGGAATAACGGATAGCACATTTTTAAAATGGGATTGCAAATCTTTTAAATGTCCCTAAAATGGCACCTGTATGGTGTGGCTGCCATTGGTTTGGAGGGAACTTCTGTCCTTGGTTGGTGAGGTTCTTTTCTGCTTTTCTGGCCCAGCCTCCAGTTGCTCATGCCTAAGGAGAGAAGAGTCCTGAGAGGCCTCTCAGAGGTGTTTGGGTCTCCTTTGTGCAGGTAGGGGTGATTCAGGTGGAGTCCCAGGGGTGCCAGGATGGCTGTGCCTGGGACCTCTGCAAAGTCGTGGGGGGAAAATGTGGAGCTTGAGGCTGACATCTTGAGGAAGGCGGTGGGTCCGGGGAAGTAGCCCCTGAGGCAGCTGGAGGAGGAGAGTAGGCCCAGGGAGCCTTGCTGTTTGAACTGCCTCAGGACAGGGGAGGGTGATGGCCCCTTCAGCAGAGGGAGGAGAAGCTGATTCTGACTGGAAGCATTCCAGCTGCCATTTCTATGGGACAGGTGGCTTCCTTGGAAAGCTTGGGTAAAGGCACTGTAGCAGGGCAGTGGGTGAGGCAAGGGTCAGGTATCAGGGTACCCAGTGGCAAAAGCCAACATCTAAGTGAGGCCACAGGGGAAGCTGGAGTCATTTGGGTGATTTGGGGATACAGCTGGTGGGGCAGGGCAGGGCTCAGAGTGGGTATAAGAAGCCCATTTTAAAGGTCTCTGGATCCAAGGTCCCATCCACCCTAGAAGCCAGAGATGGAAGTTGCCAGTGACTTTGGGGCTTCTCCAAGGAAGGGACCCATGTAGCGATGAGTCTAGGATGGGAGATTATGAAAAGTTTGTGAAGTTATGAGCAGAAGGTGGACACAAGGGAGAAAAGGTGATGTAAAAGCATTAACTTCTGAGAAAAGAAGCCTAGGTGGAGCTGGGCCCCTCTTGTGGCCTGGGAACTTGAGAAACTGGTCTTGGGTGGTTCCAGTGAGGTTTGCTAACTCTATGAGAAGCTCCTAATCTCTTTTTGTGTCATACTCTGAGGTGTCACTCAAATGCTGTTGGCCATGTGGTCAGGAGTGTGACCTGACCTTTGATCAGGAACACTAATGAGAGGTTCGTGAGTCAGCCCTCCCCATCTGATCTGTCTAGTTGGCCAGAGTGGTGCATTCAGTAGCTTCTGTCCAAAACACAAAGCAGGTATGCCTGACATTTCTCAACCACCAGTCAGGTTTCCAGGGTTAGCAGGCCGCCCATGTACCAGAATGAGCCCCTTGAGTCAGTTGATGCATAAGCTGTGTCTGTAACATGTAGTTTAGAAAGTATCCAGGGAAGTGCATCCAAAATGTGAGAGGAACTTATACAATGTGGAACTCTTTCCAGTTACCCATCCATCCATGCATCCAACCCATGTATCATTCAGATCTCCTTCCTTTACTTCTTCATTCCAGACCAACTTCATCCATCCATCCAACCACCCATCCACCATCCATCCATCCACCCATCCACCATCCACCCTTCCATCGATTCATCCATCCATCTCTCCATCAATTCATTTATCCAAAAAGACGCAAGGAAGTGATGGACGTGTTCACCATTTTAACTGCTACAATAGTTTCATAGGTGTAGACATATCAAAACAGATAAGGTGCACACTATAAATGCATGAAGGTGAGTGTACTTTATATCTCAATAAAGTTGGAAAAAAGGAATTAGTGTGTATCAGAAGGTCAAAACTGATACCAACTCAAAACATCCATCAACAGGAGAATGGATAAATTATGAATATTTCCACAATGGCATAGTGCCCAGCAAGAGAAAAGAACAAACACCTCCTGTGCACAACAACGTGCGTGAATCTCTCACACATTCATGCTAATCACAATAAGCCAGACACAACAGAATGCATAATGTATCATTCCATTTACATACATTTCAATACTAGAGGAAATGGGACTATGGTGTTTAAGAGCATGTGCTCAGATGATTACCAGAGAGACCAGCAAGGACATGAGTATCATTAAGGTCAGGGTAGTGTTACTTCAGGGGAAGGGAGGGGGAGGTAAGAGGGGACTTCTGGGGTGCTGGCCGGGTTCTTGGCCTGGGTGGTGGTTACACAGATGTTTCCTTCATAGGGACCAATGGAGCTGTCCATTTTGTTTTGTGCACTTTCCTGAATATGTTTTACATTTTGTAATTAAGAATGGAGCAATGCATATATACTGTGCTTGTATGGAAAGATAAAAAAGAAAGTTTCAACAGTAGTTTCCCCTGAGGAGAGAGACTATGGAATAGTGGGGAATTTGGGGGAGGGAGGACATGAGGGAACCATTATATTTGTTTTTCTTGTGCTTTTTGTAAGTAGAACAATTTAAAGAATTTCCTCATGCTATTCATAAATAGAAGTCAAAATTTTAAATCATAAATTCATTGATGATAGAGCAGAGAAGGGGCTCTCCAGCTGCAGGAGGTAAAGTGGGGATCCAAGGAGAGTAGAAGAAAGAACCAGAAGGATGGCTTGTGGATATTTGTGAGTATGTGTGTGTGGAGTGGGACACAGGAAGAGGAGGCAGAGGGGACTTCAGAGAGATGCAAAGCAAAGAGAGACTTGATTTACTATTGCTGGCTTTGAAGATGAAGGGGGTCATGAGCCAGGGAATGCCAGCAGCCTCTAGAAGCTGAGATTGACCCTCAGCTGGCAGCCAGTAAGCAAAGGGGAGCATCAGTCCTACAAGCACGTGACACCGAATTATGCCAACAACCTGAGTGACCTTGGAAGTAGAGTCTTCCCAGATAAAAGCCCGAGCAGCCACCACCTTGATTTGGCCTCGTGAGACCCAGAGCAGAGGAACAGGTGGAGCCCAGCCAGACTTTGGACCTACAGAACTGTCAGGCACTAAATGGGTGTTGTGTTAAGCCACTATGTTTATGGTCATTGCTACAGCAACAAGAGAAAATTAATATAGCCATGGACTGACATGGGCAATAGAAGTGATTCCTCACCCTATTACCTAAGGGGGTCCTCGGAGACAACACTTCATGGGTCAGGGGCTTCTGGGAACAAAATGGAGAGAAATTCCTAAAAGACACTTTTACATTATTGCATTATTGACCCAACTCCAGTTGGATATGGGGAGTGGTGGGAAAGACTGGCATTTGGCCTCCTCGTATAAGCTGAGTCACCTTGAACACTGATCTACTCTTCCAAGGTACAGCCACATCTTGCTGACCACAGCCCTGACAGTTGCAACCATCGGGTTAACAGAAAGAACGAATTGTGCATATGTGTATGTGTGTGTGTTCACCAGACTCCAAAGGTACCCCAAAGATACAGAGGCCACAGTGCAAGGACAGAGATGCTTGTCTTTGGTAGAGTGAATTAGACCCCCTGCCACTTCTCCTGGCTTTTACAGGAGGAAGACAGGGATCATGAAAGCTGTCTCAGTCAGTGCTCAGTGCAGAAAACAGGAAAAACCCAGGGAATTCAAGAGCAAGGGACTTCAAAGAAGGAAGTAAGTCCTCAAAAACTGTAAGTAGGACTGAAGGAGCTGGTTCTGATTGGGCCTCAAGGAATAGTCGGAGAGCAATAAGAACTTGCCCACATAGTTGTCTCTGAAACTCAGAGTTCAAGGACACACATCCAAAGCTGCCATGGGGGGATTGGAAAGCCCAGCTTAAGAAGTCTTTTGACCCTGGAATGGCTCCTGCTCCCAAATCTTACATTTCCAGGACCTTGCTTACTGGCCAAAACAGGGAGAAGGGGACAGAGAGATGGCCTTGGGGTCAGCCTCCCAACCCCACGGGGTTGCATCTATTGCAGAGCCTGATTTCTTCGAGACCCAAGTTGCAATGAATTCTGGGAAGTGTGAGTGCAACTTTTCAACCTTTCCAGCTAGGAGGAGGAAACACGAAGGGTGAGTGGGTCTAACCACATCAGCCACCTGAAGGTCTTGTTGTTTTGCTTTCTTCTCTTTCACTTATATTTTAGGTGGTGAGCTGCAGTTGAAAGTTCTCATTTTTTGTTTTTGTTTTTTTGATAAAAGTGCTTATTTAAGTTTGTATCTTTGAGTTCACAGTGAATATCTCATATTTACATAAAGCTTGCATAGAACAGTTTGTTGGGTAACACAAACATCAGTACGGCTAAATGTTAACTCATTTCACTGATGTGTTAATATCAAATTAACACTGGTAATATACAGGTTCCCAACCAGGTCTAAACACTTTTCCTGGAATTGTTTTGTTTGTAAAAGAAAACACTATTTAAATAAATAGTATTATAGCCCCAAAGGATACATTATGAAAAAGTATAAAATTTAGGGGCGGGGGATGGAAACTTTTAGTTCAGTTCATTTTTTATATGTCCCAAGTCATCATTCTTCCCCAATTTTAAAATGGATTCTTACTGTAGTTGTAAGTTTTGATCAGTGTTAAGGTTAAAACTAATTTGTCAAATCATTCACAAATTATTATTGATACAGACTTTTCAATTTGCTCAAGATCATGAACTGTAAGTGGAACAAAGCATTTCCAGTTGACAAATGGAACCTCAAATATTTTTTTAAAGATTTCATTTATTTTTATTTGACACAGAGACAGAGATAGTGAGAGAGAGAGCATAAGCAGGGGGAGCGGCAGGCAGAGGGAGAGGGAGAAGCAGGCTCCCCGCTGAGCAGGGAGCCCGATGCGGGGCTCGATCCCAGGATCCTGAGATCATGACCCTGAGCTGAAGGCAGACGCTTAACCGACTGAGCCACCCACACACCCTGGAACCTCAAGTATTCTGATGTGTCTTAACACTGTTGCAATGAGGAAACTATTGATTAAGTAAACCAAGGATTGGTCTTCCCAAAATACACTGGAGTGTGCACGTTAAGTAAAAGGATGATTGCTGGAAGTAGTATAGATGGTGCTCAGGTAGCAAGAGAGCCGACAATCAGTTGGATGGAAGTATTTTCTAGAGCTCACATTATATATAATTGGATGGGATGAAAAGGGAAAATAGAGGATAGTCTCACTCATAGAGGAAGTTACCCCAACAGCCTGTATTAAGGTCCTAACTTCTGGCCAGAGGTTACAAAAGCCGGAAAGAGAATCATCACCATGGAAACTGGTGGCAGGAATCCTGAATGCTCTCATAGAAAGGAGGACGGGAAGAAGCAACATTCTGTGCCTCGGGCTTTGATCAGGAGCCGCGGCTCTCAAAGCATCAGCAAGGACTGAAATCCAAATTCAAATTACTGTAGAGAAAATAAATTTGACACCTAAGTGGGAACTTGGTGATTTTAGAACAGTCCAAGGGGGTAATGTGCCCCAGCCACCAGGACAGCTGGATGATGCAAACAGCTGTGAGTCTGGGAGATGATTGGAGTAAATACGCAGGTGTGGTGCTTAGTAAGCGCTGCCCGGAAGTCCCAAATCCCGGGGGTGGACACAGTGAGTGGTCGCTGAAAAGCAAAGTGGATGAATGCTCGAGACTTGTCAACACGTCCCATATCACTGTGATAGGCGTTTTTGTTCTCAGTCTGAGTGTGAGGATATTGTGTTTCCCCAGGTAGAGTCAAGAACAGCAGAGTTAACAGGGAGAGGCTGGTTCACGGGGCTGAACAGCACAGTTCTGGGAAGAAACCGCAGAGCTTGGGCAGGGAAGTTTGGGGCAGCCAGCTGGAACACCTCACGCTTGAACCCTGCGTCCCCCTCTCTTGCATCCTCTGCTTTCTGGGCTGGGTCTTTCTGGTGACCATCTTCTGACTTTTATGATCTCACTGCCTTTAATGATCGCACTTCTGGTTCCCTGCCTTGGTTTTGTTAGAGCCACCTGCCCCATGAGTAAGCTCCAATCCTGGGCCCCCGTGTGGGCGGGAGCCTTGGAAGGCAGGTCTGTTCTGTGGCCTCCCCTGGGAGACGCCGGGGGCAGGTCCTGGGGTCACCTCCCCAGGCCACGCTGCTTGAGCTTGGTCTCAGAATAAATGGAACTGTTGAATCACTCCACTGTACACCTGAAAGTAAAATAACACTTTATGTTAACTACACTGGAATTACAATTTCCTTTTCCACACATCCTCACCAACACTTGTTATTTCTTGTCTTTTTGATTCTAGCCATTCTGACAGGTGTGAGGTGATAGCTCATTGTAGTTTTGATTTGCACTTCCCTGATGGTGAGTGATGTTGAGCATCTTTTCATGTGTGTTGGCCATCTGTATGTCTTCTTTGGAGAAATGTCTATTCAGGTTTTCTGCCCATTTAAAAAAAGATTTTCATTTATTTATTTGACACACAGAGAGAGAGATAGAGAGAGAGTAAGAGAGAGAGCACAAGCAGGGGGAGGGACAGAGGGAGAAGAAGCAGCAGACTCCCTACTGAGTAGGGAGCCTGATGTGGGACGCGATCCCAGGACCCTGGTATCACGACCTGAGCTGAGGGCAGACGCTTAACCAACTGAGCCACCCCGGCACCCCTTCTGCCCATTTTTAAATTGGATTATTATTATTATTATTATTTTGGGTGTTGAGTTGTATAACTTCTTTGTATATTTCGGATATTAACTCAATGTCGGATATATCATTTGCAAATAACTTCTTAAGTATAAGTACCGTTCTTAAGTATAATTTTAAAATAAAGTAATGTCAAAGGACAATCTGAAAAGGAAAGCCGTAGTGATTGAATAATATGTTGTTAATAGAACACAAGCTATTCAGGTCAATGAGACAGAATACATAGCACAGAATTTGATCTTATTACATATAACTTAAGATACGATGAAAGAATCCTTTCAAATCTGCAGGACAGAGGGGAAAATATTACCCAGTGAACAGTTTTAGATGAACTGAATAGCATTTTGAAAAGAATAAATTTTGATCCCCCTTTAATTTTTAAAATATGTCCAGAAGATGAAAGTGTCACCTTAAAAAATAGGTAACTGCAAAAATTAGAAAAAAATTATTATTTTTTTTCACGGAAAAGGGGGTAATGATAACTTTCTAAACTGAAGACAGATTTCACGAAGAAAGATACACATTTGACTCTAGAAATTAAAAATTTTCTAAACATAAGAAAAATTTACCATAGTTTAAAGGTCAACCAAGAAGTGACAAAATATTTATTCCATAAGGAATTTCTACATATTGAAAAAAACAGTAGAGTCTGATAGATATTGGATAAAGGAAACAAAAAGACAATTCCCCCCAAATGAATTTAATAGTAAACAAACATATGGGAAAATATTAAATTTAATTTGCAGTTATAAGTGAAAATTAAAGATAGTTGCTATTTTCTCTCGTTACATTTGAAAATAAAGACTCTGATAATATTTAATGCTGGTGAGAGCACAGGGAACTGGTATTGGTGGGGGTGTGAACTGATACCATCCATTTGGAAAGTATTTGATCATGTTCATTAAGAGCCATGAAATTGTTTGTAACTGGAGGATTTGTTAGATAATTTTATTGGGTATGGCTTCCATAGAGGGAAATGCATAAGTCATTAACTGTAGAGTTGGAAGAGATTTGCTAGATGCACACCCCCAGGCAATTCCCAGCCCATCGAGATATAAACATTGTCATCACCTGGGAATGCGCCCCCCCTTCCCCAGGACGCCCGCCCCCTCCTCTAGCCTCCTCCCCTTGTTCTGCTTGTTGATGCCACGGATGATTTTTGCCTGTTCTAGAACTTCATACACATGGTGTCATACAGAATGTAGTTTTGTCTGGCTTCTTCTTCCTCAGTGCTTAAGAAGCTGTTTTAAAAGTCTTTTATGGCATATAATTATACACATATACTTATTTATAAATATTTACATTTAAAAGTGTAAGTGGATATTCTTATAATATCCAGGCTTATTATATCTGTTTGATGAGCTAATAAGTACTTTCATTTCATTTTCTCTTACTTATCTAAGTTGTCTTTCAATAAGAAATAAAAATGAGAGACAGAAAGTACTTAAAATGCTGAAATGCCATGCTCCTCAGTCTGGCATCGGTGGTGTCCACAATGGGCAGGAATAAAGATGTGTGTGTGTATGTGTGTGTGTGTGTGTGCGGTCAATGTGTGTGAGTGTGTGGTCTGACACTTAGTGTGAGTCACTGTGAGTGTGTAAAGCACGTGATGTGAGTGAGCGTGTGGGTGTGTCTGCCCTGCTGGAGTTGGAGAGAAGAGCCAGAAGGATTCAGGGCTCCCCACGTTTCTCAACTCAGTCTGATCCGTCCCGGGGTGCAGCAAACCTGCTTGGCCCGCTCTCCACTCTGCCCACCTTGGAGCAGGAAAGGAAGTGAGAGTGAGGAGGACCTCAGTCTGACGGTGTGGGGAAGGGCCTGGCTGTCTGTCCTGCTTTTTAGTCTCCATGACAGCTACCCCTCAGGCTGTGTTGGCTACTGAGCCAACAGTCCTCCTGCTCACACAGCCTGAGACGGTGACCAGGTCAGCTAGTGTCTCCGAAGCCCTCTCAGAGCTCCTGGGCCAAAAGGCTTTGTGGCCAATGATGTTCGGGAAGGCTGAGAAATTGGGGATACACCAGAGATGCTGGCATGTCAAGGGTGCTGAGAAGTCCCGTGGGGAGGAGGCCTGTGGCACCTTCCTAGCAGGGCATTTCCTCCTGAGGACAGGAACCCCCTCCCAGTCCCCTCCACAGCACCTGCTACCTTCCCACAGTAGCAGCGCTCACCGAAACCAGCGTGGGGGTGCTGACCCAGGACGCCAGCCTACCTCGGCCAGCACAGTGCAGGCTGGAAGCTTCCTCAGACACAAAGACAGGCCACATGGGAGCCCTATGAGCAGGCGACACTACGCCCATTTCACAGATAAGGGAACCGAGGCTCCAAGAGATGGGGAATCTTGCTCAGGTGCCCCCAGCTTGTCAGAGGCCTGCTTGCCTAGGACCCCACCCTCTTTCCTTCTCAGCAGAGGCTGAGTGGAGAGCAGGGCTATGCATGGGCTCAGGAAAGAGAATAATTTAGAGAAAAAGGCCGGGCTGACCCTTGGCCCTCAGCCCATGATGGGATTCTAGGCCGTGGGAGGGGGTAGAGTTTTAGAGCCAACACTGAGGGGGGATGGAGGCCTGGGAGGTGCTGAGGGGACCATGCCAGCTGGTCCTGGCTGGGTGGCTCTGCCATCTCAGCAGCTGGGGGTGAAAGACCCCAAAGGAGGTGGGAGGCGAGTTCTAGGCCCCGCAGTGCGGCCAGCAGCCCACGGGGCTGAGGTCAGGCCCCCTGCTCTCTGCACCCAGTCTCCTCCTCTGAGTGTGAAGGGGGAGGGTGAAGGGTGCCAGACAAAAGATGGGATGCGCAGGGTAATGTGAGTGTCAGGTAAACAGTGCACGCAGTTTAGTATGAGTATATTCCATGCAGTGTTTGGGACCTACTTACACGAAACAATTCTTCATGATTTATCTGACCCTGGATGCTAACTGGGCAGCCTGTATGTCTATTACAGACGAGGGCCAGTGACCTTCATGCACAGATGAGGAGTCAGAGCCCCGGGGAGCTGGGACTAGATCCCTGGCCAGGGCTCCCTTCCTTCCCACGGGCTATCTCTCCCTGTGGACCAGGTCACTGACAGGCTGGGCTGAACCTGGCTCTGAAGGAAAAGCCCGCCTCCATGGTGATGGCCAGAAGGCTGGTGAGGTGCTGGGGACCCAGGGAGTTGGCAGTGCTCATGCTTGGGGTTCACCACCCCGAGGTAGCAGGGCTGGAAGGAGCCATCAGCTTCCACGCTGAGCCACCTGGCTCGAAATCTGGTGGAATCTGGTAGTGCTCCGTGGGCTGCAATGGCTGGGGGGCAGAGCAGGGATCCGGGAGATGGCTGGTGGAGGGACCCCAGCTTAGCCACCTGGGAGAGGGGGGAGAGAAGGGGGAGGGGGTGGGATGCTCTATGGCCAAGGGCCCTACCTGAGCCCTGAGGCGCAGGGATTGCTCTTCCATTAGCAAATCCCAGGCAGGGTGGGGGCATCATGGTGGCTCCTGCCCTCCAGTTACTCCCCATCACTCAGCTCAGGAAGTTCTAGCAATGTGTGTGGGGGGAGGTGGAAGACAGTGTTGAACCTCAGAGGAACCCCTCCTCCCGTACTTCTCCACAAACTGGTGTTGGGGTTTGCGGTAAACCCAGTGACCTGGGGAGGTGGCCTACACGAGGAGCAGGACCCAGCAAGGTCACGATGTGAGGTGGCCAGCCTGCATAAAGGGGGTGTGGAAGGTGTCTCAGCAGCTGCCCCACCATGACGGCCTGGGCCCTCCTGCTCCTCGCCTCGGTGCTCCTGGCTACCCCAGGTAAGGACATTCCCCATGGAGATCCTGGCAACTCCTCCTTAGCTGAGTGAGGGTAGGGACAGTTCTGGAGAGTGGGCTGGACTGGACCACCTGACTGGAATTCTCTGGGGAAGGCAAGAGAAAAAGGAAAAAGAAAGACCTCAGAGAGGAGACGAGGGAAGGTTCCTTTTAGGTCTAATCTGTGTTGTGTGTGTGTGTGTGTGTGTGTGTATTTTTGGGAGAGGGAGAGAGAGAATAGAGACACACAGAAACAGAGACAGAAAAGGGGTTCATGGATGATGGTGGGGGAGGTATAATCTTTTTCCTCCTGTTTTCCAGAAAGAACTAGAGAGCATGTCTTTGGCACAGAGACTGGGTCAGAGCAGTGCCAGGGCAGAGTGTGAGGACGGGCTTTCTGGACTCCTCACAAAGCCCTACCCCTGTCCTGGGCTCTGGCCACCTCCTGGGCTCCCCACCAGCCAGGAGATCTGACTTACCCTCTCCTTCCACCTGTGGAGGGATGCTGATGTTGTTTCTTCCCCAGGGCTGACCTTTTCTGGTCTGTCCCCTGAGGACCATGACCTGTCCATGGCTGACATGTATGAGGAGGAGCAGTTCTTCGAGATCCTGGCCAAGGAGGCCTCCAAGGTTGGCAGCTCGCTCCCTGCTCACCTCCCACAGCACCCCCCACCGCCCCTGTCGCCTCTCCACCTGGGTCTCCTCCCTGGGAGCACCAGGCAGGGCAGCTCTTCTATGCTGGTGGGAGACGAGGTGCTGGGGACCCAGGGAGCAGGAGGAGCCCAGGCCGTCATGGTGGGGCATGAAGATGCTGATTTTGTGCACACCCCTGCCTGGGTGGGGGCCATGTTGGTCTGGCTGGGCTCTCCCCAGCAGGGTCCTCCAGGGTCTGACCAGACAACAGAAGAGGGGCAGGTGCTGAGCTGGGTAAGGGGCCGTGGGTGTGGCGCAGGGTCTGGGGTATGTCAGCCCCAGCAAGACTAGCAGGAGGGTGGCGGGGGCCAGCCAGCCTGCTTCAGGCCCTAAAGGACAGAAAGATCATAGATGATCCTGCTGGCTTAGGAGGCATGCAAGAGCCTCTTCCTGGGGTCCTGCCAAGGGCTGTTGGGGGTGTCTGAGAGATCACCTCAGGGGGCATCATTTTCTGACAGGGGGACCAGATGATCTTCACCTGTAAGCCTTGCAAGTTTATAATCAAGACGCTGAGAAAAATCCTGGGACACAATATCACGCAGGTGAGGCCTTATGGTTTGGGGAGCCATCTGCAGGGTGGTCAAGGGCATGAGTGGGGATTCAGAGGGTGGGGGCAGCACTGAGGGAGGGGCTGATCCCTGGTTGGGCCAGAGCTTCTCAGCAGGGGATCTGTGGGTCCCCCTCCCGTGCCTGGGGACTGACTTCAGAGAATCCCCTAAAATGGTGAAGCTCTGGGCACGTGAATGTGGGAAGAGGAATGTGTCTGGTTTCCCTTCCACTGTTAAAGGAAACTCATCCCCAGAGAAGATAGAAAGCTTTCCCCTGTGGCCCCACTGCGTGTGTCCTCGGCAGAGCTTTGTGAGGCGGGTTCCAGGGGGCCCTGGGTCAGGACTGATCAACCCCAGATCTGCCACTTCCTAGCTGCATGGCTGGGCCCAGTCCTCATGCTTTCTGAGCCTCAGTTTCCTCCCTGAAGAATGAGATGGATAATAATCCCGATCTTGCAAGTTGCCTAAGCCTTTTAAAGGAGCTGCGGGTGTGGGATGTGCTTAGCTCCCTGTCAGGCCCTGAGCGAGTGCTGAACAAGGGGATGTGTTACTACCGAGAAGACTTTTTCGCCCTCCCTCCCCTCCTTTGTTCCCTGATCCTGCTCAGCCCACCCTCAGCCCTGGGTGCTCAGCTGGTCCTTCTCCATTGGGATGGTAGTAGATGATACTTCAACATCAAGCATGCCAAGGCTCCACGCTCTCTGCTACCCTAACCTTCCTGACACAGCCCTGAGCATGAGCCCCGCCAGGCCTGGGACCCAGGAAGCTTGGCAGGCAGAACCTTCAATGTGCGTCTAGCAGCCAAGGGCCCTGTTTTCCACATGGAAGGCAGGGGGCTGCGGTGATGATGTGCAGGGCACTGAGACACGACAGGACCAACTCTTTCTCTCAACAGCTCCTTGTGACCAGGCTTGGGCTGGAGCCTGGGCATGAGGGTCAATGCCGGTCTCTCCAGCTCCTGCTTCCGTGGCCACCTGGCACCAGGTGCTACCCCCGGCGTGCCCGCGGTCGGAGGTGCCCAGAGCCTCGAGCTGCCGGGGTCTGCGGGGGGCTGACCTGGGCAGAGCTCACCTGACTCCTATGTCTTTCTGTGGTGCTTTACTGCAGGAAGCCATCAAGCAGGTTCTGTCCAGGGTGTGCCGGAAGACACTTATGCCCAAGACGTTATGTAATGAAATAGTCACTAAATATCTTCGTGCCATCACCCAGGGTCTCCTGAATGACAAATCCCCCCATGAAATCTGTGTGAAAATCAAGTTGTGCAGACCAGAAATAGGTGAGTGCAGAGGGGGCAGCAGGGACTCCTTGGTGGAGGGCCCAGGTCACGTCCCCGCGCATGCTGCTTTTCTCGCAGGCCATCCTGGGGTGACAGCAGGTCTCTGTCCGTGGTCGGCTGGGTACTTGAACAAGTAGCTTCACCTCTGGGAGCCTGAGTTTGCTTACCTGTGAATGGATAATAATCCCTATTTCTTCTTCTCTTTTTTTTTTTAGGAATCATTTGTCTTTTTTAAAATCTAAATTCAATTAATTAACATATAATGTATACTTTTTTTCAGGGGTACCGGTCTGTGATTCATCAGTCTTATATAATACCCAGTGCTCATAACAATCCCTATTTCCTATTTCAAATAAGGATTGAATGGGATGATTATGCGTAAGGAGGTTGACACCAGGGAAGTGGTCTCAGACCAGGATACTCATAGACCTCGGAGCCCTGAGTGATCTCCCTTCCCCAGCCCAGCATGGGCTCTGGGGCCCGGGGGCCAGGCACCATCTTTGCCCAGGACATTTGGGGCCTGAGAGCTGGGCTCAGGAACCCCCTGGCAGGAGGGCTCTGCCATCTCTTCCTCCAGGGCTGCGCAGGACGTGCCCACAGTCAGGCCAGGGCTGCAGGCCATGGGGCAGGGAAGGGCTCCCTGAGTTGCTCTGGCAGCTCGTCTAGCCTTGGCTGAGGCTTTGGGACTCGATGCTGGCCAATCTGACTCACCCCGTACAGTGAGCTCCCCACCATTTCCTGTCACGGAGCCTGTGGTTTTCATCTCCAAAGCCCCACAACCCGCTCAGGCTCCTGACTGGGTTCCAGGATGTAACTCTGGGCGTGTTCAGTCGGGGCAGGTGGCTCTGAGTCCCCATGTCCCCCGGAGACCCCACACACCTGCCCACAGCAGACTCTTCTCTCCACTCCAGGTCTCGGGGCCTCCGGGGCCTTACCCCACCCTGGGAAGAAGCACAGACTCTTCAGCAACCATCGCCAGTTCCCGCCTTCCTAAATCCAGCGCAGACCCTCCAGTTTCCCTCAGGGAACCCTTTGCAGCGCCTTCCCCTGGCGGAGAATAAAATGTCATGCAAGCTTGTAGGCACAGCCTCTGTTCCTTTGGTGGATTTGAGGGGAGGGCCTCGGAGGCATGCTGGGGGGACTCACGCACTCATTCAGGAAATGTTTATTGTTTTTGTCCCGCTCTGTTCTAGAGGCTAGGGATTTCGTGGTGAACCAGACAACGTTAGCAGCTCTTACACAGATGGTCATGAAATACTTACGAAGCACTCGCTAGAGACACACACTCCTCTAAGAGCCTGGGGTACACAGTGAATATACCCCCAGAAGCTCTCACACCCGCGGAGGGGGGAGCAGCAGGGTTGTAGTCAGGAGAGCCTTTGGTCATCAGGAACAAAAACCCATCTTTTGTTTCTCTCTGCAGGGAGCCCTTCTTTTTTCTGTTTTGGGGGAATGTATTACTTAGGGTTCTTTTGGTTGTGAGCAACAGGAATATTACCTTATCTGGTTTAAATTAAAAAAGGCAATTTATTGGCTGAAAAAATTAAGCAGTCCATAGATAGCACTAGGCATAGAATGATCCTGCAATTTGTGGGGTCACCAGAGCTCCAGTCCCGTAGCTCAGTCTTTCTCCTAGTTGCTCCCACCGCCGTATATGGAGGTTGACCCCAGGCTAGGCTCCTTCCGGGCAGCAGCAATGAGCACATCAGGTCCACCCTTTCCATTTTGTACCACGTGATCAAGAGGGAACGAGAGTTCTTTGGTAGCCTCTCTCCGGTGGATCCTTTGGAAGAGGGTGGAAGCTTCGTGCCTAGAAGTCCGCTCAGACATCTCCTGTGTTCTCGTTAGCCCAAAAAGAGCAGGCGCCATCTGGAACCAAGCAGTATGTTCCAGGGGCATGGGCTACACTGATTAGCATGAGCCAAGCCAGGCATAGCCCTCCAGTTGAGAAGGGTTTAAAGTTCCCAATGACTTGGGTGAGAATGGATATGAATACCTGGGTGGAGATCGTTCTGGGAGAGAGAAGGGCACGCCGGTCATCACAAGGAACACTGGTTCACTGGTCCAGGCTCAATTATAAAAGCAATTCAAGGACTCCCAGTGGTGAAATCTGGAGCCATTTGAGTTTCAAAATCGATAAAGACAACATCAGATTATAACCCATTGAGTAAATTAGAATCTGTGAATTCATAGAGATATTAATAATAAAAAATAATTTTCAAGCAAAGGAAAGCTTTACCTTACTGTAGATGCCAACTAATACAAGTAGACACAGCTGCAAAATATTTTCCCACAGAATATGTACTCACTTGATATGTGTGAATTCAGCAGGTATGGACAGTAAAGAACTGGAGAGAAGTGGGGCCGAGCTGGAGGCCATGTGAAGTTAGAGGTGGGTGTGTGTTTCAGGTATGTACATGCGCATGAGAGTGGTCCCAGCAGAGGAGAGAGGCTGATGGTGCAGGACAGAACCGAGGAACAGCCTCAGGGGAGGCCTTGAGAAGGGAGAGGATGGGTCTGGGGCACAATGCAGGGACTTCTAAAGGTGGGGGCATAAGAAGGTGGCCTCAGCCTAGGGGTAGAAGCCAACAAAGGATAGAGGCCAAGCCGGCTCTGGTCACTTGTCAGGAGGGGGCCTGAGTGCCCTGATGTCATAACACAGACTTTGGGGGGCACCTGCTCTCTTTCACAGGCAGTTCTCTTTTCTGTTTTTTCTTTCCCTTCTAATGGATCATTCTTTCTTATTCATTTGTATCTTGCAATTTTGGGGGGGAAATATTTTAGATAATATTGTGGCAAATCTGGCTATCGGTCACCGCACCCCCACCTTGCCATTGCTATTGGCCAGTTTACTTGTTTAGTGCCTGCAGAGTTAATTTGAGTGGCAGCCCATCACTGCCTCTCAGGGGAGGCCTCTGATGGTGGCTGTCCAGGGGAGTGGCCTTGAGCTTGCCCACAACTACCCTGTGTAGACAGGTGTTTGGGCGGGGCTCTCTGTCTGGTTCTCTAACACCCGCCGGTAAATCCCACAGCACTGTCTGCTTACTGTATTGTTTCCAACACGCCTCAGGGAATAAATTCTTTATGGTGGAATTCAATCAAATCAAAGTGTCTTTGTAAGGACAGTGCCTGAGGTCAGTGTTAGAGATGTGTTTTGACCAGGAGGACCTTTACTGTTGCCTCTTTCCCCATTTCTCTCCAGCAAATTAGCCTGCCTACGGTTTAGCCTATATTTTTAAGGAATCTATCAATCTCCTAACAAATGTCTTTCACCATGACCTCCACTGTTTTTGAGAGCTCCCGGAAGCTTGCAGCTCCCTACAGTCTGTTGCAAATGGAGTCAGTTCTTTTAGGGAGGAGCGGAGCGCTCTGTTGGTGGCCTGCTTCTCCTTCCTGGGGGAATCGTAGAGCCAAGGCTCTGGGCTGGAGGTGGGGACAACGGATGCAGGCTGGCTGGGTCCGAGGACCCAGAACAGGTCCTGCAGGAACAGCCAAGAGAGTCCTCGGCTTCAGGCAGGATGGAAATCAATCTCAAGCTGAGAGGAAGTAGGCACAGAGTTTATTGAAGACAGAGCATCTTGGAGACTCAGAAAGAAAGGAACATGAGTCTTGTCTTTGCTTGGGATCTGGGGTTTTTATTGCGGATGGTGGTCTGGTGTACTGTCTTCCTAGGCATCCAGGAACTGGTCAAAACAAAGAGGAGTGTTTAGGTGTTCTCCGACAGCCCCCCATCCCCATCCCTTCTTAGATGTTAGCTATTGTGCTAGAAGATTCTTTTTTTTTTTTTTTTTTTTTTTAAAGATTTTATTTATTTATCTGAGACAGAGAGAATGAGAGAGACAGAGAAAACATGAGAGGGGGGAGGGTCAGAGGGAGAAGCAGGCTCCCTGCCGAGCAGGGAGCCCGATGCGGGACTCGATCCCGGGACTCCAGGATCATGACCTGAGCCGAAGGCAGTCGCTTAACCAACTGAGCCACCCAGGCGCCCCTGTGCTAGAAGATTCTATAAAGAAATCATTAAGTCCTTGACCTTTATAAGGAGGACACACATTACCTGCATGCACTATAGGCATGTATAGGGCAGCAGTTTAGGTCCTAGCAAGAACAGAGGCAGCAAGAGCCTTTCACGGGGTCCCTTCAGTTTCCCTGTCTCACAATGATGCCCTTCTCTCTGAGCGACACCCCCGCTCCGGTAGCTGAGTGCTCAGTGCATCTGGAGGCGGCGGCCCAGGCCTCCTAGGCCTGCCTGTCCTGGTGGGAATTCCTTGCCCATGAGCTTCCCACGAGGAAATAGGTTCAGTATTCTCGGCCCTGCCACGCTCCATGCAGAGCATCAGTCCCACCTGTAGGGTCTGAGCGGAAGACAGCCCCCAAGTCTTAGGTGCCCTTGCCTGAGACTTGGTCTCAGCAACAGGTAGCTGGGGGCAGAATGGCAAGTGCTTGTGTTTGTCTCTGCCAGGAAGATAGCCTGATGGCTGGGCTCTGGGAGGAGAGAGAGGCCTGGGTTTTTGTCTGTACCAGACAGGAGTAGAGTTTCCATCTGAGCTGCGGAGGGGAGCGAGAAGGTAGGTCTTGGTTCAAATACCACAGACTCCATGTAGTTCTTCCGGAGTTTTAGATTTTCTTGAATAAATCTTTCCTTGTTTGCTCTATGCACTTAGTCAGATTCCAGAGAATTTAGATGGTTGTTTTAAAAACAATTTTCACCGGTTCCACGGAGCATCCCATACTGTAACGCCAGATGTGGACCTGCTTGATGTTTTCTTTTGACAAGTGTAACTTCAGAGAAACCAGAGAAGGCTGGTCATACAGCTTCGAATGTGTGTTGACTGTACAACTTCGAACCCGAGCTGGTGTTTAGTGTTTAGTGGCCTGATGCAATCGAAACCACATAAAAGCATAAAGTTGAACAAAAATCAAAATGGCTGCACTAATGCTTCAGGGAAGCTGGATCTTAAACTAAGTCACCTTTTTCCTCTTTTGCAAACCTCCCCTCCTCCCTTCTTAGCCTTTTGTTTCAGGGACCTGGTACCACCCTGAGGACGTGATGAACCAGGCTGGTGGCAAGTACACGATTCCTGTCAAAACCAGCTAGATCCTGTATTTCCCCATTAACCCGCCCCCCACCGCCCCTTTCCTTCAGGTGGGCTTGCAGTTTTGAAGGCCAGAGCCTGCTGCAGCCTCCTGTGCCTGGCAAAGCAATAGAGCTATTGTTCCTCTTTATCCTAAACTCTGTCTTTGCCTCGCTATTTCGGCTCCAGAGCACAAGGTTGGCTTTTGCCGTACAATGGCAAGTCAGGGTCACAGCAATGTGGGGGAACTGCGTTTTCAATTCTAGGTGCTTCCCACATATTGACCTGGAAGCCAGTTTTACAAATGTGGAGGCTGAAGCACAGAGAGATGAAAGGATATGTGGGAGGTCCAATAGCCTTGACAGATTTGGGATTTGAAGCTAGGCAGTTGTGTCTGAATCTCCACACAATCCTGCCTTTCTCCAAGGGATAGGGGTTTGAGTTCCATTTGTTAAAAAAGAGACAGCAGTGGGCACCTGGGTGGCTCAGTCGGTTGGGCGTCTGCCTTCGGCTCGGGTCATGATCCTGGAGTCCCGGGATGGAGTCCTGCATCGGGCTCCCTGCTCGGCGAGGAGCCCGCTTCTCCCTCTAACCCTCCCGCCTCTCATGTACTTTCTCGCTCTCTCAAATAAATAAATAAATCTTTAAAAAAAAAAAAAAAAAGAGACAGCAGGCCCACGTCACCCAACCAAGATTTACCGCCTCCTTTAATCCCAGTTTTAACCTCTCCCAGGAGTGGAAACTTCAGCCAGTCCCTCTGGAATTGGCTGGTCAGCACTATGAGGGCGTCTGCCTGAGAGACCCCTGCCATCGCCCAAAGGAAAGTGACCTCGCCTAAGGTAGTCCACTCTTAGCTAGCGACTCCTTTGTCCTGCCCCCTTCTACCTATAAAAGCCTTTTATTTCATATGCCTCTTTGGAACTCCTTTCTGTCTGCTAGATGGGATGCTGATTCATGAATTGTTGAATAAAATCAAGATCTTTTCTTTTTTTAAATAGTTGCAGAGGTAGAATTGAGTGATTCAT